ATGAAGGCCGACGGGGGTCGCACACCGCGGCGCTGAACGCAGTGCCATCCGATAGGCAGCACCGCTTGCTCCACGGATCTTCGGCTCGTTCGCTTCGAGCTTCGGTCGTTCGTTGTACGATCCACGCTCGATTCCGCTTCCTTTCTTTTTCGTTCGTCTTGGCGTGGCTGCCGTGGCGTCCATGCCGAGAAAGGAAAAGCCAGCATCGACACGCTACACACGGTGGAAAACACGGAGCCGCCGCGAAGACGCGTGCACTGGTCGTGTGTGTCGTTGCCGCGCGTAGTTTTACGTGTACTGCGTATACGTCTGATCGTGCTCGTGAACAGAGGTGCCCCCTCCCCTCATCCCGAACGGCGAACGCGTGGTGGTCAACACGGTGCGTGTGCTTGTCTCCTTTCTTTTTCTCTCGCACGCTTAGTCTCTTTTTTTACTTTACATCCTTTCGCTTCTTTTCATCTTTTTCGTCTAACAGAATTCACGTTGCGCACGTTGTTGTTGTTATTGTTGTCGTTGTTGATATTGCCGTCTTCTTTTTCATCGATTTGCATTCACATTTTTGTTTTCTCTTTTTTTCTTATTTATATTTTCGTTTGTTTTTTTTCTCTCAACGACACTCTTCGTTCACTGTGCCGTGTGATTCCACCTAACCACGTTTCTCACAAGTGTGAGTGACAACGTGCGCGATAGAATTTTCTGCGAGGGGATACACGAGTTTTCATCGTGTACGCAAAAGGTACCCATTCTCGGAACGCAAGAGAGACCCAGCATGGCCGCCTAGCACAAGACGAGTCAGAGTTCCTTGCCGGTGTCCACACTACAACGGCAGTATGCTTTCTGTCTCCTTCCCTCTCTTCATCCCTTTCGCTCTCTGTTTCTGTCCGCCTTCTCCCGCCATGTATTCAAAGAGTACTCACTCGTGCTCTGTCTTCTTTACTCCCATATATACGCATACAGATGCATCACAATCCGTCTTCGTTTTTGCACAATGTTGTTGCTCTCGTTGCGTCGCTTTCTCGCTTTCTGTTCCATGCTTTTCCCTCGCAGTTCGTTCCTACATCTATCTTATTCGCTTCTTCTCTTCGTTTCGTATACACGCTTTACGGATTCGTCTTTCTCTCTTTCTCGTGTCTGTCCGTTTTCTCTTTCACTCCCTTTCTCTCCCAGTTTCTGCATCTCTCTTTCGTTCTTGTCCCCTGATCGCGCCTTTCATTCGAAAATAGAACGTCAGCACGCGTGCCGCGCACATTTTTCCTCATGAAAACACCGAATTCCCACTCGCTGACACGCGCGCGCGACACAGACCAAGCGAGCACTCGTGCTGTATTCTAACCTCACTTTCCGTGAAAAAATTCTGCGGATTGATCGATATTGATTTCATTAACACGTGTAAACCAACGTCTTTAATTTATTGTTGTTATTATTCAATTAAATATATATCAAAATAAAGGAACTTTTATTAACTTATTAACCATATCACTTAATATCATATAGACAGCATGCGTTTTTCCTTCAGCCAATCATAATTTACGACTGTGTCTAATAGAGGCGCTATTTACCGTACCGGCAAAATTTTTCTGCGTCCTTAGATGGCGCATTCAGTTGCTCTTGGGAAGCCATACACGAAGTGTCTGTATCAGTAGTTTTCGATCAAATTGCGAAGTGTCAAATGCATCAGAACCGATGAAATATTTTTATTGTGACAATAAGACGTAATAGTAGAGTCAGTTGATCTTTCGTTTATCGTCTATCGGCTTTGTTACGGTCAGACGGAGTCAGACGATATTCTGGCGGGAGACTCGTAAAAATAGTGTCTTCGTCGTTTCCTCCCTTCGACTCCGTGACTATAATTAGCGGGATTCGCGTTTTCTACGTAAACAAATATTCATCGGTTGTGTTGTGTCAGCCACTTTTCTCGTTGTTCGTGATTTCCTGTTCGATAAAGTGCATTGAATAAACATCGCGAAACACGACTATCCGGCCAGTCACCGATGTCATGGCTAAAGTCCACGACTATCGATGCTACATGAGTTTTGCATTAGGAGAGTGTGGACAGTAGAAACAGACCACTCTGCCTGTTCTCGACCACCATCCCTTTTCCTCCTTCGTGATTCTATGTTGGCATATTCTAGGAGACGATGCCTGTAGCGGAGAAGTGGACTGAACTATTCATGTCCGACGACCGTTCATAAAAATAGGATTTTAGCGATTTCTCTCCCTACGATGCTGCGCTTAATGGAACCTCTAACGTGCTTGGTAAATAAATTTTGCGGACATTCTTTCGTGGATATCTCTTTCAATCGATATTTAACCGTTAATATATTGATACGCGATTCCGCGCATTTTGGACGCCATGATTAAAAGACCAGTCACGTGATCTATGAAATTTATCACCTATTATATGTATTCGACTTTAAAAAATTATAAATTTATCTGAAATTTAATACATTGTGTTTGCATATTCAATAATTATTTATTCAATAAATAATAAATATAAACTTTTCTCTTAAGAATTAAATGATCATATATTCCTTTAACCTATACATTATTCTGCATTCCACATCGTCCCTCGTTCAAAATACGTAGAATAATACATATGCTCGCAATCAGATATATCATGATCGTATAACTTTCCATGAGATCGCGTCCAGAGCGATATATCGTCTCGATCGAACCTCGTTATCAAATCATCTTATCTCTTATCGAGATATCAATCGTTATTATTATTATTTTTTTTTATCAGCGGCATCATGAATATTGATTACAGTTTATCTCGATCGTTCCCGCCTATGCAGCTGGAATAATTATTTCTCGCTCGATGATTACGTGCGTTTACTGCCAAGGGGTACGAATATTCCCGTATAAAGAGCTATAGGGAGTTCACCGATGCTCGACGTAAATAATAAATCCACGCGATACGAGGTCGACTCGACGAAGGAGCACTCGAAATCTCAAGTGTGCGTTCCGCGGGGCAACATTTTCATTTTTATGCTGTATGTGCATGCGTGCGTGCATATAGAAACGCATGTTGCAGAAAAAAGTAGAGAACGCGTTTCATGTGTGTTGGACATCGGTTCATTACATTGTATTGTATTGTCAGCACGCGCGTGCACGATGGAGACAAAAGAGGGACGAAAAGGAAGGGAAGGGAACGAGGGTAGAACATAGAACGAAACGAATCATTCGAGATACGTTCGTGAACTATTTCCTCGGGGCTCGTATTTTAGGAAGTTGTAGGAAGCATGAGTCCATAGACCAGAATAAGACAGTGCATGGTGCACGGGGCTGTTCCTCTTTATCTCGTGGCCCATCTCCTCTTGTTTATAATTGGATACGTTTGATATCCGTTGTGCATTCGATGTCTTTATTGTAGTGATTTTATTTTCACTGTGTTATGTAGGAATCGGTTTAAGCGAATCGGTGTATGCATCTGATTTCTTTTAATTTTGTAACTACAAATATTTAATGTAAATAATATAATGTAAAGATGATTTTTCAATTATTTTTTATTCAACTAGTTGAAATAAAATTATTGTTATATTTTATTATAAATAAATTATAAGTATTATTCTTTATTATTCTTTTGTTACTCGAAAAACAGGATTAAGATTGAGATAGGATTTTATATACAAATGATAATGGCAAATCATTCATTGATATCTTTGGAATCGATATTTAATTTTCTAATTTCTTGTAATTTATCCCAATATATCATTTAGATTGAAATTCAATTGTTCTTTTATATTGAACACATACATTTATATGCATACATATATTGAACACATATATGATATTGAATCATTGATAATTATATTTATATCGTATCGTAGATGAAAAAAGATATATCAGTAGCTTTCTGAATTCCAATTTCCTGCGTTGTTCAAATTCATTTCACGTCTTTTTGTTTCTTCTTATCGTGAAATCCACACATTCGTATTACATATAAAACTTAATGATACAAATCAAGCTATCCGTTTGTTTCTTTTAATCCATCGTCAAATGCTTTAAAAAAAAAGCTACTTTCCCAAATTTTATTATCTTCATAGTGATAAATTTAATTTATATTTATTTAATATTTCGTTTTAATTATTTATCGATTCATAATTCATTGGTATAGTTATATCCATTGACATAGTTAATCTTCAATAGATGATATTTCTTTTTTACTTTTTATCATTAATAATAACGTAATGTTAAATTGATTTATATTAAAAAATAAATCTATTTGATTTATAAAAATTAAATTCTACTGATTGACTTTATTATCCCTTATCAGACACGATATGCCTAGCAGATAATTTACAGCTCGTTGTTTCGCTTGGAAAGTGCAAGTAAAATAGTAATGTATATTTACATTACTTGATATGAGAGCACGTTCTTTGCATAAAAACTTTTATTTTAACAATTTCCATTGCAATTGGTTAAATTAAGCAATTGGTTAAGCAAACATGGTTAAATTAAAGCGGACATTATTATAAAACGAGAAGACAAACGTTTCTACATCCAATCATACAAATTTACCTACATATATATAGTTAATTTTGTCATTTTCAACATACATACGATACGATACGATAAAAATATCGCATCATATCACAAGTGACATATGTTGAAAGTTATATCATAACATTAATAATTCGAATATAAATCAAATTATTTATTATCACGTTGCATCAGAGATCAAATTCTCCGAAGTTAATACGAATTAAAAATAACCTTCCACGATTGTTTGTTACAGACACATCGTAACCCTTCCTCGAGGCCCATAAACGCTTGACGAAGAGATTCGCAGTGTTCGGAAGCGCGGTGAAGCGGGAACACCAGAGGATGCGAGCAGCGGAGGCGCGTGTACTCGCGAATGCTCGTCCGGCGATCGTTCCTGACAACGATCGGCACGGCTCGCGATGATGGCGGAGCGCGGTCGCGTAGCAGCGATATCGTGGTTCGAGTACGCGCGACGCGGATACCTCGGTAGAAACGTTCGACACACGACGGGATAAATGCGAGACCGAAATCTCGTGGGTGGACCAGTTGTCGCGGCGACGAAGAAGAGGAAGAAGAAAAAGAGGCAGCTGGAATCGGGTCGATACGAACGGAGCCCGATCTGGTGGTGGTTAAGGGCGAGAGCAGGTGTCGTGGAAAGGAGGGACGATAACGAGACGAGGTTGGATGTAGATCAGGAAGAGGAGGAAGAAGAGGCGGAGGAGAGGAATCTTGGCGTGGATAGAGGAAAGAGGAAGGATCTGGAGAGAGGAAGGGGGGAGGAGGGGAAGAGAGTTGGTAGAATCTCAAGGATTCGTCGTCGTCGTCGTCGTCGTCGTCGTTATCATCATCATCATCATCGACAAGATCGGCCTACAACCAGCTGGACTGGACGGCCTCGAGAGTTTTCGCTGTAAGGCCGGGGGTTGTGGGGGTCACCACGGGGGCGGGGGTGGGTTTGCCCCTGCTTCTTCTCGTCGTCGCTGTCCTTGGCAATCAAACGTGCACGACGACGGCTGCGCCGGTGGTGTCCGATCCGCACGTGTCCCTCGACGCTACGCCTCCTCGTCTTCCGCCTCGATCAACGTTCGACCGTTCATCGTCGTCGTCGTCGTCATCGTCATCATCATCATCGTCATCGTCGTTACTATCATCGTCTTCCTTGTCTTCCTTTCGAAGAGCTAACCGCCGATTTTCCAACCTCCACCCGGAAAATCCACCGCACAATCGTTCCTCGAAGGGAGAATTGGATTATCGCGAGCAACTACCTTCCCCATCAGCCGAACGAGAAGACGGTCTGGATAGGAGTCGGTTGCTCTCTCCCTGGGAACAAACGACAATCGATCCATCCATCGGAAGAACGGATTCTTCTTCCCCTGCATTAGCAAGAGGAAGAGGAGGTGAAGGGGGCGGAAGAGGAGGAAGAGGAGGAGGAGGAGGTCTGGCTCACGAGAGGACCAAGTCGAGACGGCGGCAGGTTGCCGCGGCAGGGTTGCTCGATGATCGAGGATCAACCACTCTAAGCCTTGTTCAACCGTACTGGCTGCCGACGAGATTCTCTCGTCCCCGTTACACGGAACGATCTTCAACCCTCGTCGATAGGATCAAACCGGAGCGTCGCCACGGTGGTGGTACCGTTTCGTTCCCTGGAACAACCGGAACAACTGTCGGTGGTAGTGGTGGTGGTGGTGACTCGACGTCGTCGAGTCTCGAGGACTCGACTATCGGTGAGAATTACTGGGACGATAATTACTCGACAACCACGGCGACTACAAAGACTACGACGACGACGACGAAGAGGAGAAGGGTGACCACGGTACCTGTCCCTTGGACTACCGCTCCGTATCGTTTGATTCATCGAACTGTGCCGTGGGACGACGACAGTGAAAATTCGGATAGATCCGCGGGAAGACGCGACACGAAGGCGAAAGACGAAGAAAGGGAGAAGATAGGCACCCCGTCTCGAAAAGACGGGGCCAGGTTTGTGTTCGGGGGGGGCGGCGGTGGTGGTGAGGTAAAAGGTGGTGGTGGTGGTGTCGTCGAGTGGACCACAACGGTCGCCAGGCCGATGTCAGCGTGGTCGTATCCTGAAGATGAGGAGTCGGGAGCTGGAAGCGTAAGGACACGCCCGAGACCGGAAGAGGCGGCGAGCGAGGACGAGGAGGCCGAGAGCGGCGAGGAACAGGTCAAGGTCACGGTGTCGCACCCCAAAGGCTCGTCGTCCACGTCGACCACGGCTAGGACTACGTTGCCAACGACGACGACGACGCAGTTGCCACCGCCGAGTCAAGATACCTCTATGGAAGCACGTGAGTACTACCGTCAAATGTGATACTCCTTTTATGCTTTTTCTGTCTCGTTTCGACCACCAGGGAGACTCTATTGGATGCTCTCGTTTGGTCGGGAGGTGGTACACGCGAGCCGCGTGTCTCTTCCGTTGCTTCTTTTGCCGTGCCTCTCCCCACGGATCTGTTTACAGGAACCGGAGCTCGGCGCAGGACACTTGGCCAGGTTATTTTTAACTATTCCAACCGTGCGCCCACTTTCTCTATCCTCTTCCTTTTTACGCCCTTTTCCACCTTTAAGACGCGATGCCTCGTGCGTCTGACTGGTAGGTACTGGTAGGATATATAGGGATATATAGGGTAGGATATTTTACTCGTTCTTGGTCCTTTGATTGAACCTTTTCACCGATCTTAATAAAAAGAATTTTCGGTTCTTTCGATCTCTTTTCTCTTCTTCCAACGCGTTGAAGAGAGGATCGATGATTAGATTAATTAGGGAACATTTGTTTTTGATACGAGATGAATTTAATTTTGTCTAATAATAGGATAGAATTTGACTTAATCTGAATTATGCACTGATTAGAAAAACTGTAGGGAAATAATTCGTAAAGCACAAGACTCGAATGATTCGCGAGCATCGAAGAACGTTCGCGGAAGGAAGAAAGAATCCGAGTATAAAAACGGTCGCGAACGAGGGAATAGAAGAAGAAGAAAAAGAAGAAGACGACGACGACGACGAAGAAGAAGAAGAAGAAGAAGAAGAAGAAGAAGGGAAGCTCGCCGTGAAACGTGTGCATCTCGTGTGTTTTCGATTACGCTTGCACGGCCGTACGCCGGCTGCGTACGACGTACGGCTCGTGACTTCGCGTATGAATCAGCCAGCTATTCTTTTCGCGCACTGGCCGACCGCCGACTTCGTCTCTTCTTCTCCTATGCTCATTTCTCGCGCGCCTCGTCGCACACTCCGTTCCGCTTTTACTCTGTCCTCGTCACACGCGCGAATGAAGCGAGCCGAATCCACGCGAGCGATCCCTCCGTCTTATTTGCCACCTCCCTTTTTCGCCCTTCTGCGTCGCCCTTCCCGAGTCACTGCCTTCCTCGTCAATCTTCCTGAACTCTTCGTTCCGCGTATACCGTGGAAAACGGCTCTCAGCTCGTGGATTCTCAATCTTTTGGGGATGGGATCGGAGTACAGTAATTTGAATTTCAGATTTAAGGGATAATAAGTTGTTATGATAGTTTAGAAGGGTGGTTTTGGATACTACAATTTTGATTTTGACGATAATTTTTGTTAAGAATTTTTCTAATCATCTTGTGGACAAGTTTGTATTTTGGGAATTTTGTGCATTTTTGTGAATTGTGGTTGCACTTTTTAAGTGCAAATTTTAAGATCGTTTCAGTGGGAATCTTTTGATCCAAGATTGTATATCATAAAGAAAATTTTTCGAGTTGTAGTTGTAGTTTTTGGGATAAGAATTTTGGAATTGTTTTATTTTGAAATGTTAGATTTCTGGGGAATTAATTATACTTTGGTATTTTCATTAAGAATCTCGTGAAATAATTTATTGTATCGTTGGGGAATTTTATTTAAACTATAATTATATTTTCGTTGCATACTTGCAATAGAAATCTTGGGAATTAATTTTTGTAGTCATTAATGATTAAAAATTTTGATTTATAATAGACTTTATCTTTTCAAATTAGGATAACTCTTTGATACAAAAGAGTTCAGTAAAACACATGATTCATAAAATATAATATATCTATTTTGTAGATTATTATCGGTATATTACAATTCCAGAACAATTATATGTAGAGTCAAAATATAGTTGATGAATAGATTCATAAATTCGCATGAATATTCTCATTCAGATTAGTATTTATATTCTTTAAGCTTGTTACAAAGCAGACTACTTTAAGTACTTTGCATAGATGCAACGTTTAATATTTTACAGTATCGGGTTACCAGCTTTTCCGATTTTTAATTCGGTGTAAAAAATGTTATAAGTTTTTCAGAATAATTTGGCATAAATATTAAACGGGAAATAGGTATAATTAATTCGTGAAAATTACACGTCGACTAACAAAGTTGCTAGAGTAAGAGAAAAGAATTTGTTACATTCTAAATGTAGATATAAGTATTTCTTCAACACGAGGTTAGATATAATGTTGTTGTGAGAAATTTAGCAAAGGAAATACTATTTCCTGTTTGATTAACATTTAAATTTAAATGTTAGTTAAAATACATTCAAGTCATATTCGAAATAAACATTTTTAAAAGGATTTATAAAAGATCTTGATGGAATTATAAATAGTGACTATCGCATCTATCTGGAAGTTTTATATTAGCGAAACGTAGAAATAAAATATTTATTAGTATGAGAAATTTTAAATTGAAATATTTAACCCTTCCAGCTATGAATATATATGTTTCATGCATTTATTTTTTGTACAATTAATTCAACACACGTTATCATATTCGATAGCACCGTTAAACATAAATGGAAAAATAATATATCAAATTAAAATTAAGAAAGAAATAAATAGCAGGAGAGCGAAACGATTTTATTCAAATCTTTGCATTTCAATTTATTCAAGTAATTTATGCTATGATATATATCAAAAGTAAAAAGTTATTTAAAACAGCATAATTTATCATAAAAATTATATTTAAATTTTAAAGTATTTTTTAAATAAAAATATACAAATTATGTACATCAGCAATTTTACTATTATTTATTAATATTTATTTACTGAAATGTATAATATTAGTAAATATATAGTAATAAAATAAATAGTAAAATTTATGGATGCATTATTCACTATTTACTATTTACATTTTATTTATTACTGATATTATCCAGTACTTATTAATATTTATTTGCTGATAATATTCATTACCGAGGAGTTTTTAAATCTATTATGCTTATATACTAGCTCTTTATTTTTCAAAAATATAAGCATAATAGATATACAATTATAAATATGATTTACAATTATAAATATATCATAGCATAATATCGTAACATAATAACAAAATTAAAATTCGTTCAATAGATACAATTCAAATCAAAATAAAAATATATCATAAATTTCACCAGTTATCGTATATACAATATATCGATAAAAATATTGCGTACCCACGTGACAATCCATAATCTTCATATCGACAATCTTTTGTTCCCCCGAAATCTCAACCAAAAGATCGCACCTTAAGCCACCTTAACCGAGTAGACAAGATCGACAATCGAATCTAATCGATAACTCTATCAATGAGAGCAGACTGATTAACAGAAAATCGTCAGGGCAGTGGGCCTCCAACCACAAAAGGAACGCACGATTTTTCGTTGAAGTTTCGCGGTGCTTTGTAGGCGTCACGGTTGTTTGCAATAACAACGCGATATCCGTATCGCGTGTTTGGCGAATACCGGTTTAAAAGCGGTTGATAAAGCCGGGGAACGGTGCGTCGGTTTATTTTAGATTATAACGTCGCATATCACCCCGTGTAATCTCGATAAATAGCTCGTTAATTCCGGTTGATCATAATAAGATAACCAAGCATTGGCAGCGCGCCAAAAATTTCGGCATTCCCAGATTCTGCCCTGGTCCCTTGTCTCCCCTCTTTTTCTTTTTCTTTCTAGCCCTATTGCGTTTTGCTCGTGGATCCGGTTCCTTTTCATTTTTCATCTACCGCGCACCACGATTCATCGCTTCTTCTAATTAACCCTCGTACCAAAACTTTGTGCTCCTTTGAAGTGAGATAACTATATCGTTGTTTAAAGTTAATATTCGGGCATATAGGTATCTACTTAGGATTCCCTTTAAAGAAAATTTTGGATATAGCTGTGTCGTTAATCGACATACTTAGAGTTTTATTATCAAAAAAATTGGAGAAATTTAATAATATTTAGCTATTGACGTGATTAAAGATAAAGGATTTTGTATACTTCGTGATATTTTTTCTCTCTTTTATTGACTATTTTTCTTGATTAGTTTTAGTGTAGATAGTTTCTAGATTTTTTTTTTGATTTCGATAACTACTTTTGATGGTGTGTATTATTTTTAAGAAATGTATTGTATCGTTTTAAGTTTAATTAATTCAGGCATTTTTTTGTAATTTTAATACATTTTAAAGTATTTTTCTATTTTTATTTTTTTTTTTAATTTTGACAAATCACAATAGAAATATATTTCTAATGATTTTGTATAAATTTCGTTGCGTTTCTTATTTGTTCATTTCGATAAAATCAGTGTTACTAGTTTTGCAGTCAGTTTAAGATAATTCTATCTTGGTTTCCGTGTTTCCAGAGTAAAATCAGTTAGTCCAGTACAGTTTAGCTGAATCGAGGTCAGAAAAGATTGCTTCGTTCAGGTTTATTGCATTCAGATAATCGAGATCATTGTCTATCTAATAGACCTAATTTCCCCTATGTGTTTTCGTAAATGAGATCTCTGTACTGATCTCACCATGGCGAACGTAAGCAACTTTCTTACCAATTATTGAACAGAATTAAATTTATTTTATCCATTTATGATTTTAATTTTACAATTTTACAATATTTTTTTTTAAATATATTTTGCGATTTTATGTTCGTTTGATCGGTAAAAAATAATAAAGTATAGTAATAAAAAATTCTATTATTTTTTTAATTGCATAAAGCACGCAAGAAGTATGGAAGTAAATTTGAAAAGTTTTAACGAAGCATAATTCAATGAAGTTGACAGGTTTCTACGAGACAATAATCGAAGAGTGTACAGCATAAAGTAGAAAATTCTCCTCAACTACTTTTATAAAGGAATCAACTACATTCTACCAACTTACAGTTTACCAACTCTTCGATGAAGCTTGCACAAAACGCTCGAGAAGAGAATTTGAATAGAAGTATCTTGAAAGATTTCTAACGGAGCATAATTAAACGAAATTAACAAATTTCCAAAGAGAGTAATAACCGAGCAGAATAAAATAATATTAAAATTTTCCTCTGGCTATTGATCTTAAGTTAAAGAAAATTCCATTTCCATTG